ACATATCCTTACACGGACGCAGTTTTGTGTAGAGACCAGCATGTTTTATCTTACGTTGTACTGATCCGCACAGATGGAACAACAGTAACGTTTTATTTGTGCTTTTAAATTTTCGATAAATCAATAAGTCGGGGAAGTGCTCTTGCACTGTGGAACAGCCAATTTTGAAAGTCTGAAAATGACTTGAGGAAAGGGGGGTGTGGGAGTTGATGGGTTTTTTTTTCGCCATCTCCAGAACTTGCTATTTCTGTAAACCTGATCGTATTTCATGGACTGCTGTGCAGTTGATCGTGGTTCAAATCCAGGCAGGAAGTTTTGTGTTCTTGGGTTGTATGGGAAACCTCCATGGGTGTCAGACAACTTGGCACGGTGGTCCCACTAAAGATAAACGGAAAATACGTAGTCCTACTTCTTGCACTGCCGTACTGATTTGAAAAGGGTTTCAAACCCAGGCTATACCATACTAACCCACTGAGCAGGCTGTCGGGACAAATAGAAGTGTGGTCAGGATGGACGAAAATCCTTTAGGACACAAAGAGGAATACAAGAGTGATATCTCTTGTAAGGAATCCCTAACATCTAAGAGTTTGTTACAATGACGTGCTGCAAAAATACGCGCCTTATAAATGCAGATATGACGCCATATATGTGCAATCTATCATTGCGAAATTATGGATGGCTGACACCCCTGCCATAACACACTCGCTCCCTGACCGGGGATGTCTGGGGATAATATGTTGGAGTGGTCACGATAGACAAAAATCCCAGCAGACGTTGGGAAAAAGACACAGAAAAACCCAAAACAATAAATAAAAAACAACAACAACCCTCAACAAAAACAGCAGACATTGAAAAAAAATATCCAAAAAAATAAAAAATAGAGGGTGGCCGACAAGCGACGACGATAAACGATCGGTCTGTGATGACGTGTTGTGGAGATGTCGGTGACAAATTGTCGCCAAAGTGGCAACTTCAGCCCTGTTGTCCACTGCTGCGCGCCCTTGAGAAGGCGTATGCTGAGGCCACGTGATACGGCCTGCTCTTTATTGCTTTCCATTTGGCGAGCCTATCATTCACTGATGCCATTAAAAAAAGCAGCCAAGTAATCTGGCGGACATAGTTGATGGAGGCTTCTTGTTCAATCGATTGCCGCAGCGGAAGTAAATCATTCGCATCCCTTGAACCATGTGGCTTCCTAGCCAACGGTCTATTCTTCAGTGTGTGCCTCACCGCTCCAGTTGGGCCTCACCTAGGCTCTCTCTCTCTCTCTCTCTCTCTCTCTCTCTCTCTCTCTCTCTCTCTCTTTCTTTCTCTCTCTCTCTCTTTCATTCTCTGATTGTTTTGTCTGTCTTTGTTTTCTCTCGGGTCTCTGTCTGTGTGTGCCTGTGTCTGTCTGTTTGTCTGTCTTGTCTGTCTGTTTGTCTGTCTGTCTGTCTCTGTCTGTCTCTCTCTCTCTGTCTCTGTCTCTCTCTCTCTCTCTCTTTCTTTCTCCCTCTCTCCCTCCCTCAGTCCTTCCCTCCTATTTGTTTCCTTTTCGTATATTGCTTCTCTATTTTCTTTCTTTTTTTCCAATCTCCCCCGTCACACTCTTAGTCAATCTATCTGTAATTTGTCGGTTGTCCCGGTTTCTACTTCCCCTTACTACCCATGCTTCTTTTGGCGTTCCCATTTCTATCTCAAGGTATAGCTAGCTAGAGAAGGGGGCGGAGAGAGAGAGAGAGAGAGAGAGAGAGAGAGAGAGAGAGAGAGAGAGAGAGAGAGAGAGAGAGAGAGATGTTTTTTGTTTTTTTGGGGGGGAGTAAGACGTATTGAGCCATGGTGTGACGATGGATGAGGCTCATGTCGCCTTATAGTGAACTGCAGTATTCATAAGGGGGAAAAAGACATTCCAATAAATAATTGAAAAAGAACAAATTGCCACGTTAATGATTGCACAACATCACCTATAAAGTGCAGAATCATAAATCATCCAGACCCAGTATTGATTTTCTAGTACATTGCAATCAGTTATAACGTTGTCTCTTTATTGCTGCACTAGGCACTACCATCACATGCGGTCTTTTTTTGTTGTTGAATAATTTAAATATTTATTTCTTTTTTTCATCGTCCCCTGTCTACCTTCCTTTTCCCCGTTTTTTTATTTTTTCTCCATGGCTTTCTTATTTATCTTTTTCCCCCTTTCATTGAGAACAGTCCGTAAAGAAAATGGCTATGGTTTTGTTGAGCTTGGAGTTTGGTAGTCCTTTAAGTTATGTGGTATCGGCATGGGGTAGAAAGGGTGGGGGAGGGGGAGTGTAACTCTCTTTTCTTTGTTGAGATTCAGATTACAAAACCTCATATTTATAACCCACATACACATTCGTGTACGCACACATACACAGATGCTCTCGTGTTCTGGCATTGACGCAAGAACTCACGCGTACTCGCTCGCAAAGACTCTTTCCACACAGGCTCACACAGTGACATAATCACGAGCACACACGCTCACGTGCGCACACATACACTCACACAAACAAAAACGTGTGTGAATAATATACTAACAGAGCCATACTGATTTACGCATGTGTACTCACATGCGCTCTCATTTACATACACTGACGCACGCACGCACGCACGCACGCACGCACGCACACACACAATGCTCAGAGTTTTCCGCCCTTCGCTTTTATAACTCGGAGTCTGATAATCATGACCACTCACTCGCCGTTATTCTACCTGGGTCTTTCCTTCTCTTCTCTCTATACCTCAATAGAAAGAATGTGAAGAATAAGCCTGAAAAAGAAGAACAACATGTCTAATTTGAGAAGAAGTGTTGCAGAAGTCCTGAGTGGATGAACGCGACAATTACGTGCTTTGATTCACTTTAGAGTAACAGCCAGCGAAATATCAGTGTCGTTACGCTGAGACTCGGTGCTAATGGGAAATCAATAATCATCATTGCTCTGTGTGGAATGCTATACCCTTGCGTACTAGGCCGGCCGAGACTGACAGAAAGAGCGTAATGTCACTTCGATCCGTATCGACTGGCGTCTGCTCTGCTGTAACAGTCGGTTCGG